AAATGCAGGTGAAAAAATATGGATTTATTTTTCTTTACAAAAAAAACAATTAGGAGGGAGATCCAGATATCAAAGCCAACAGAACCAGGTCTCAGTGTCCCAGGCAGGCCAAGAGCACATAAACAGATGACGCTGCTGAGAGCTCAAGAGCAAACAACAATCTGAACAATCAACAATCAAAAAGTACAAACTTGGCAAAAAACTTCTCAAAATGGTCAAAAAATGTATCCTTTGCCTGGCAACAGTCACAGAATGGCAAGATTCTAGGAGGCAAAACCACATAGATGCAGGCTGCTGCTGAAGTAAGGACAGGCAGAGGTAACCAGATGAAATCTCCAAAAACAAGCAGATGTATAAGCTTGAAAGGCCAGAGTCAGGTAGGAGGGAGATCCAGATATCAAAGCCAACAGAACCAGGTCTCAGTATCCCAGGCAGGCCAAGAGCACATAAACAGATGACGCTGCTGAGAGCTCAAGAGCAAACAACAATCTGGCAAAGTACGACACACACAAGAGGAATAAGTAGGGCAATCAATAAACAGGATAACGAGCAGTGGCAGGTGAGACAAATAGACTAATAAAGTGAAACGAAGGGGTGGGGCCAAGACATGACAAATGAAGAAACACAAAACAAAACAGAAGCCATGTGCTAGATGCACATGACAACATGAACACAAGCAGACAGACAAAGCCAGGCTGATCAGCCCGGGGTCCTGACACAATGAGAGCTGAAATGCTAAATCGAATTCATGAAAGTCACTTGGGAATTGAAAGCTGCAGACGTAGAGCAAGAGAAGTACTTTTTTGGCCTGGAATGTCACAAAGTATAACAGAAATGGTGAACAGCTGTGACGTGTGTAGGACTCATCAGAAACGACAAATCAAAGAGCCGTTACATCCACAAAGTGTTCCAGAAAGACCCTGGCAAAAGATAGGTGTTGACCTATTCACTTTTGGCCAGCAGGAGTATCTACTCTTAGTGGATTACTTTTCCAAGTTCATCGAGGTAGAATGGCTAAAGTCAGACACAAGAAGTGCTACAGTCATCGCCCATCTTAAGTCACAATTCGCTAGACATGGAATTCCTGAGACTGTGATTTCAGATAACGGACCTCAATTCAGCTCACGTGAATTCCAAGTTTTTGCAAAGGAGTGGGAGTTTTCTCACAAAACGTCAAGCCACCCACCACGCTCAGTCGAATGGAATGGCTGAAAGAGGGGTACAAACCGTTAAACTACTGCTGAAAAAAGCTAAAGCAGATGGAAAGGATCCGTATTTGTCTTTGCTGAACCTTAGGAGTACACCATTGGAAGACATTGGTGTGTCACCAGCCCAGCTGTTGATGGGTCGACGCATGAGAACGAGACTTCCAACGAAGTCACAAATGTTGAAACCCTGTATGGTCTCTAACACAGTGCAGCAGTTGTTAGAAAAAAGACAACAGAAACAGAAAAAATATTTTGATCAAGGAACAATGGTGCTTCAGAAACTTCAAATTGGCGACAGTGTCAGAATATGGCAAGATGGTGTGTGGAATCCAGCTCAAGTAACTGAACTTTCTGATCAGCCCAGATCCTATGATGTACAGACGCCGGATGGACAGATGTATAGATGAAACAGAAAGTTTCTGATGCAGTCAAAGGTGAAAAATAACATAACCGAGGACAGTGACAATCAAAATGTGAAACAGCAGAATTTGACTCACAATGCTGATGAACCATGTGAAATGGACATTCAAAACAAAACACAACAAAGTAATGCTAGTCCTACAGAGCTTCCAAATCTCACAACCAAAACGGCAAGTGGACGTATTGTCATCAAGCCAAAAAGGCTCGTTGAGGAGTAGTTATGAACTTTGGATGTTTGTTCAGGTGCAATAGTTTAATGGACAATACAGAAACGGTTAAAGAAAAGAGGGGAAAAAAAACAAGATGTTATGTGATACCAAGCAGAATTCTTTTGGTTGTTTTGTCATTTTCAGGTTATGGGATGTGAAAAAAAGGGGATGTCATGATATGTAAATAATTAATCTTGATTGTGATGCAGTTCATGTGGAAGCCACGGGTTGGCGAAAAAAACAAACTTAGCAAAAAACTTCTCAAAATGGTCAAAAAATGTATCCTTTGCCTGGCAACAGTCACAGAATGGCAAGATTCTAGGAGGCAAAACCACATAGATGCAGGCTGCTGCTGAAGTAAGGACAGGCAGAGGGAACCAGATGAAATCTCCAAAAACAAGCAGATGTATAAGCTTGAAAGGCCAGAGTCAGGTAGGAGGGAGATCCAGATATCAAAGCCAACAGAACCAGGTCTCAGTATCCCAGGCAGGCCAAGAGCACATAAACAGATGACGCTGCTGAGAGCTCAAGAGCAAACAACAATCTGGCAAAGTACGACACACACAAGAGGAATAAGTAGGGCAATCAATAAACAG